TTTTTTACTTGAAATTCTGTTTCACATGAGTGGACAGTGCAGTCCGTCATCTCGAAGAGGGACTTACGCTTGTCTGGGGATTTTTTATGTGATTGCATTAGTGCTTACGTAGTACCTAGGCGGATATAATTGGGTTAAAGAGAATGATGTAGAAGAACTAAAATTACCGTGCTACAACTTTTAGAAGAAAACTCAGTTGTACAAAAGAAAATTCCTTCTTGGTTATACATTTTAATGATGTCTTTGAAATAAGAAAAAAAAAACTAAACTTCATAAGGTTTAGAAATCTGGGGGCGAAAAAACCAGGTTAATCGTTATCTTACCCAAAAAGAAGAAGAAAATGACATTTAGATTTTTTTTTCTTACTAACTTTAAGCTCTTTTTTAGATATTGGAACAGATGTATTTCAAACTATTAAATGTGCATGCAATTGCTATGACATCTGTAGTATGGAATCCATTGCTGTACTTCTGGATGAGCAAGGTTAGCTTAGAAAACCTTTGAGCCCTTTAATTTTAGAGAATTTCCCAGTTCTGTTGACCTTTCTTTTAGCGACATCGTCGGGCATTGAAGGACGATATGACATGGTTGACAAATGTTCGACGACATACCAATGTCGGAGTGCTGTCGAGATTCGCACCTTCGCCTTCTGTATCGTTAGTGTATCGTCGTACACTTGAACGACATTTGGGCGTTACCAACTTTAGGTATGAGAGCTTCCATTATTTACATCAAAAGTACTTCAGACTCAATGAAATTGGCCACTAATGTTTGATCCCATCTCATGCTTGAATTTCCTATTTGTCTTCACTCGAATCAGAGTCGAAACTTCTCTCTTTGCAATGCTCCATGCGCATTAATCACCGTCGGGAAAACAACTCAAGCGCGCGCAATCAAATTTACTCCAAGAGCACACGAAACCGGAGGGGACTTTATTGCGACTGCTCTTTACGTGAACAGCTTTTTACGAAGGAGCAGGGAGATTAAAATTTCTCAAGTCATGCTTGTTTTACGAAGATCAGAA